CAAGTACTAAATGGAATCAAGTTCAGCACCTTTTCTAAATACAATGTTGTTCGTCTATATTTTTAAAGTTCGACTGCAAGTGTACGACTTTGCTCGTAGTATGTGGCAAGTAAGGTCGTATTTCAAGAGACCAAATAATTAATATATCAAGTACAAGATTATGATAGTGTCAACTTTATTTAGACATGAGATGGATTAACTAAACTAAGAAAATATAATCAAAAGAAAATAAAGCAACAATAAGGAACTAGCTAGCAAAACACGTAAGAAGATATATAAGAATGATAGATTCTAAGACTTTGGTTTCAATTAATAGTTGGGTTCCTTCAGAGATATCACAACCAATGTTTTCTTTATCTTCCCTATAAGATGATCACAAATTTAGCTTATCGTCTCTCTCAAGATCGATAAAACCGTAGATTAAATCACATATATTAGCGTCTCCACTCAACACATGCAATTCAACTCCAAATAGATTAAAAGATCTAATATCCTTACAACAACTTACTAATCTCTCGATTCAAGCAAGTAAATTGTGTCAAATATTAAAGACCTAATATTGAACTCATCTCTCGAATTATGAACAATATTGTCAAACATGTAAAAACATTGGCCAAGTGCTAAACATGAAATAAGAACAAAATATTTGAATAGGGTTTAAAAGAAAACAATCAATTACAATAAATCATCCAAAATCCCAACATATTAATCTACTACCAAGTCTTAGAATCAAATAAACTAGCCACTCATGTTCAAATTCAAATACATAGACATATTAGAAATCAACATGATCAATAAAAGTTCAAAAGGAAAGAAGAAATAAAAACTAGGAATCTCGTCGATTTTTCAATCTTCTTGATCCCTTCGTAGTTGATCTTCTTTGCTTCCCAATTGCCTCTCTTGTGTGTTCTAGGGCTCCTCTAATGTCTAATCACGTTCTCCCCATCAAAATAGGGTGAATATGCCTTTTATAATGTCCAAAACCCTTCTCCTTTTCAAAATAGGTAAGATATAAATAACAGTCTCCGCGCGCGACACGACCATTCTGCCCGTGTCACGGTCCGTGTCGCAGCCCGTGTCAGCTCCCAGGTTACGAATTGTCTCTGTTGAGGTGACACGGCCTCTGACACGGGCATGGTGCCCGTGTCACAATCCTGCTTGCTCGTTTTTGTCTGTTTCATTCGTTTCTTCCATTTTTTTCATCCGTGCATCAATCTATCATCATCCCGGAGGTCCTAGGTACTCACCATGCACTTCCAATAGCCAAAAGCTCTACAAATATGTGGAACTATCTACAAAACAAGCACATGTAATACTTTTCCAACAAATAGAGAATTAAAGCATAAATATGCAATTTATACACCAATAATGCAATGAATAAGCTCTAGATACTATATAAATATGGTGTAAAATTACACATGAACAAATAGCAGACAAATTCAAGATAATAGACTAATATGCAAATTGATCTATAGCATATAATAGTTGATTTGGTACTTAAACTAGTCATTTGGTACTTGAAGTACACGATTAGCTGGCTTGGTACCTAAACAATAAACATTTATTGATTATTTGGTATATAAATTGTAATCATTTCGTTGATTTGGTATTTAAAGTATAACATTGCATATTTTAATTCATTTTTATCTAATCAAATTAAGACAAAAAATGTAGTAATTTTAAAGTGGATCTAGCATGTGATTATGGTCTTTTGGTAATTTCTAAGTATGGTTAGCGTTCTCACGTAAGAATCAAATTTTATACTTGGGTTCCAAAACAGTCAGAATCTAAGATTGTCATTCTTGTAGCTATCTGGGTTGAATCACAAGAGGCTTTGGTTCAATCCAAAAAATTATACGTCACCTAAGAAATAGACTTAGTCTACAAAAATATATTCTCTAATGCAAATAAAAGTAGACTGGGTTCTGCTGATGTGGCAGCTAAAAAGGAGACTCAGTCTCCCCTTAAGTCTATTTTAGACCCAAGTACAAACCTAGTCTGTTTGCATTGGAGAAGATTTTGTTAATTTTACATAGTTTTATCCATGTCATCCAAGACTTGAGTTTATTTACGTGCCACATAGACAAGACCAGACTCAGTGCATTGTAGATGCTCTTAAATATTAATTCATATATTTTTTTTTTGAAACGATAACTTATATTCCTCAAAAGGTTAATACAATATAGAGCCCGAATGCAAAATAACCAAATAAGAAAATCAAAATGATGGAATCTGGGAGGAGCACTAATAGAAGTGTCATAAATTAAAAACTAAAGACACAAGTAGGGCTGCAAACAAGTCGAGCGGCTCACGAGCCGCTCGCGAGCGCTCGAGTCAAAGATCGACTGGAGCTCAAGTTTGACCGAACTCAAGTCGAGCTCGAGCGGCTCGAGCACGAACTCGAGTCGAGCTCGAGCGGCTAGAGCACGAACTCGAGTCGAGCTCAAGCCCATATTTTTCCTTGTCGAGCGGCTCGATATATATTAAATTACTAAAATACCCCTTATATATATTTAAATAATAAAACGCAAGTGTTTAATGGTAATTTCACTTAAAAAATTTGAGCCGAACTCAAGCCGAGCTCGAGCATTTGATTTCGAGTCGAGCTCGAGTTATTGTATTTTCTTATCGAGTCGAGCTCGAGCAGCTAAAAAAAAAAAAAAAAAAACCCTGCTTGATTGATAAGGCCAATGCTCGACTCGACTTGGCTCGTTTGCAGCCTAAGTTTCTGGTAGCGGCATGAGCGCTGAAATCGGACGTTGGATGCCTAATCCCCAAATAAAATCTAAAAGCTCCCATAAATGGAAAGTTCCTACTCCAACTCGTCCAACTAGGAGAGAATAACACACTAACTAAATAAACACACGTCTAAACTAACTATAAACTACTACCTTCCCTACTTAATGCTAGCAACCCGCACCAGAAACCCAGAAGAGCATACAAGCCAACAACCACAACAAAATAAACTCACGGTCAAAACCTTAAAGAGCTACATAAATAGACCCAAATCCTAAAACTCCACAAAAGTGGCTAGAAAGAACGTGCGTAAAGGCAAGCCTTAATCCAAATTTGAGCTTCTGAAGACGCCAATCGAGGGAAGAAGAGGACCCAAGGGGTTAGGCTCGTTGAGCTACGCCAGAGGAACCCAAGTCCGCTCTCCTGGAGAGTTGCGGACTGAGGGTTGCGGGCTGCCGGCAGCAGAAGGGGCTGCAACGAGAAGAAAAACAGACTGCGGATGGCGGAAAATTAGGACAACGAGAAAAAAAAAAGGCAAGGTAAAAAGCAAAAATAAAAAAATATAAATTTGTCTTTACAATCGCTCAAGCAGTATAAAATATTATTATTACTATCACTAGCTCACCATATTCAAAATGACAAAGAGCCTGCTGTTTAAAAATTGTTTGTTTCTATTTTGCACTAACTAATTATGTGAGTAGATGAATAATGAATTAAAATTGATGTGACGTGTAAGTATGATTGATTGATATTGTTTCATTATATTGACAAATTGAAGATAGTGAAGTTGTGTTAAAATTGAATTAAATTTAAAAATGAATTAAGTACAAATATATATATATATATATAGGGGCTGGTTCAAATAAAACTAGTCCTGGTGTGAGAACCGTAAGAACCATTTTTTATGCTATTTTCAATTGTGTATGATGCTATTTTTCATATTAGATGATGCTATTATTTTTACAAGTGCTACCAGAAATTGTGTTGCTCTTTTTAATAAAATTCATCCTAGTTAAAAATAGCATCAAACACAATCAATCATAGCACTACGCCCCAATAAAAATAGCGGTTCTCACGGTTCTCACATTAAGATTTGGTTCTCATTTGAACCACATCCTATATATATATATATATATATATATATATATATATTATTTTTATAAACAAACACTGTCTAAATCAACATGCCATAAACTTAATTACCAAATAAGCAAAATTATTACAATTTGGATATGAAATAATGCATAATTCAAATAAGCTAATTCTATATTCTCACATACAATTTAAGTCCCAAATACTTCTCAATATCATTGTTTATTTTTTCTTCAATTTATCTTTCTTTGGACAATTGAAGATCACTTGAGAAGCGAGAAGAATGAAAAGTGCAAGGGAAGAGTAAAAGCCAAGCACTTTTCTAAAGTGAGAAAAAACGGTGGGAATAAAGCTGCGACTCTCTCCCAAACCCCAAACCCTCGCCCGATTTTCCAGCTTCTTCCTTCAATTCCCTCAACAATTATTACAAATCCACATTTCCCCCTTTTTTCCTTGCGAACAGATTCATTTCAATAATTTCCAGAGATCAATAAATGAACAATCAATCACCATCTTGATCGATCTGCCTGAAAAACCCCCATCACCGCCGTGAATCTGCAATTCGCGTGCTGTATAAAACCGGCCCAGATTCAATATACTTTGAACCCATGTGGCTGAGGCGATCCAAAACCAGAGCTCGGGTCCACAACGCCCCTTCCCCCAAATTCGCCTGCTCCTCCTTCAAGGACGTCCAGACCCTCTTCTCCCCCGACGATTTCGCCGCCTCCGCCGCCGGAGATGGTAGCGGCAGCCCCCTCGAGTCACCCTCCCAGCCCTCCATCTGCCACCGCAACCGCAGCGTCAAGGCCCTCCTCCGCACCCTCTCCCACCCCTCGCCGCCGCCGCTTCCGGACGGCGGCGAAACCGCCTTCCCCGAGATCCGAGTCCCCGGCGCCGATAACTCGGTCTTGATCTACTTTACGAGCCTCCGGGTCGTCCGCCGCACCTTCGAGGACTGCAAGGCCGTACGGACGATCCTGCGCGCCTTCCGCGTGCCTGTGGACGAGCGGGACGTGTCCATGGACTCTGCCTTCATGGACGAGCTGCGGAGGATCCTGGCCGTGCCTGGGAGGCCAAGGCCAAGGCCGACCCTTCCTAGGGTTTTCATCGGCGGCAGGTACGTGGGTGGGGTGGAGGAGGTGAGGCGCCTCCATGAGAGCGGGGAGCTGAAGAGCTATATGGAGAGGCTTCCGGCAGCTGTCCCCGGCACGTGCGAGTCTTGTGGCGGGTACAGGTTCATCCTCTGCCCTGACTGCAACGGCAGCCACAAGTGCTACAGTGAGAAAGCGGGCTTCAGGTGTTGTACCTCCTGCAATGAGAATGGTCTCGTCAGGTGCCCCTCTTGCTCCACTGCGCCCCTATGAGCCGTTTCTTTATTTTTCATTTTTTTATTTTTTTTTTCTCTTCTGTTAGTTTCAATTAACTTATTTAGTAGGCAGTGTTGATCAAAGTTAGGTTTTTTATGCATCTGTTTTTGGTGTGAGACATGGGTTTCTTTTCCCTGTATCTTTTTTGGCTGANTGGTTATTTATGTAATTTAGTGTGGCCCAAGTAAGAAAATAAAAAATCGTAAAAGTGAAGATGAAGCAAAGGGCCAGAGGATAATCATATAAGGCCGTGTATTGTTGTTATGGAGGTGTTTGTGTCAGCCCTTTGGCATTTGATTCTGTTGTCAAGTTTTCAGGATCTAGATAATTGCTAGTGATGTGTTTATTTGGTGATGATATCGTTGTAAGCTAACTCAACGGTATAAGTTGCTATTAAGGAATTAAAATTCTTATTATTTTTCTTTTTGCTCTTGTTATTTAGAATTTGCCGGATTTTGATTTTAATAGTTTTTTTACGATTCTATGCTGTTTCTTATATTCATCCTTTGCGGCTCCTTTGTGCTTACATGTGTGTCACCTGCTCAGTCAAGGGGACATATATACATGTCCACGAGCATCTTCTATTGAAAGAAAGGATAATGCTGCTGAAAAAGCAGATGAATACGTAGAAGTGAATAAATTCGCAGAGCATTTTTTACTGCCACGCTAAATTTTAGAGAAGAAAAAGCCTTTTGTGAGTCAAACGCATATAGAAGTCATTTGAGTGTCTAAGAGCTAATGATATCAGTATGCTAACACATTTCCAAAACTGTGACTGTAAAAATATTGGTCTTTGAACTAGAATACATTGGTATTTAGGTCCTAACTCTAGTTTGTATGACATTGGAAGTACATTGTTCTTGGTTAATAATGGTGATTTTATGCATCGGCTTTTTACTGTAGGTTATTTGCTTATTTTCATCTGTTTGGCCAGGTTTGTGTGTGTGTATGTGTTTGTGTGGATTGTAATGCCGCTCTCTCTTTAATGTAATGGCCAAGAAATTTATATAAAAAAAGGAGAGAAATTTGTTCGGAAGAGAATGGCTTGTTTATTGCGTGTTGTTTGTTAGCCCCTAGTTTGTTTATTGTTTGTTGTTGGTCTGCACTTGACAATCATTTCATTTCAAATTCTAAGAACTTTTAGCAACGCTTAGTTGACTAAAGTTGCAGGCCAACTTTAATTGTTTGCCCTTTTCAATTAGATTTTGTTGAGTTATTAAAAAATTTAAAACTAGCTTCATCTTTATATAATTGCTGCTTGTGGATTGCTTAGGTGGACATTATTGTGTTATTATGGACAAGAAGTATATACAGTGGGGAGAATGAGATGAGATGAATGACGAGATTAAAAGTGAGAATCTTAGCATTGGGCACAAAATGTACAAAAAAAAATAGTCTAAGTTAGTACTCCATATGATATATATACATGTATGCACAATTGCACATACACTACTGCAAAGTTGTTAGTTTAGAGATCCTTAAATGGGGAACTAAAGTAATTTTGAATTTAGGTCTTAGGACGAGTTTCGTCTGATAATTCCAAGATACTGCTATCAGCGCATAGTCAATTGATTTTATTTTGCAACCTTGAAAAATGTTATTTGCAGTTTTAGGAAGATGATGTTTGAATTGTCTGAACTGTTTGGCTAGTGTGCTTTGTGAGTCAACTCTAATTATATGCACTTGTCTAGGTGATTGTTTGCTTGTGAGGTGACTCGAAATATTTGCAATCAAATTCAGATTTTATTTTATTTATTTATTTATTTCTCTCTCTGAAGCTGACTTGAAAGTTGAAACCTCAAAAGC